ACTTGGCCTCTCGGTATTGTAGCAGCTACGATCTTGACCTTTCTGGACTATAGCAGCTACGACCTTGACCCTTCGGGACAGCTACAACTACGACTGCTAGACCTGATTGGAACTCCTACCCGACAGGTCTACAGATCGAACCCCTTCTACCTATGGACCCTACGACAACCTACCAGCTGTTACAAATACACAGGTCACGGGTTCAACTCTAGGGGTCGACACAGATACTGTACAAAGGTAAGGTGGGGACTAGGGATTGAGCCCTGGGATCTGCATCAGCTACTGCGAACTGGTGAATACCGTTTCACTCCTGCCGGCCTAAATCCGAGGTCCTCCGAGAATAACTCAGTCCAAGGCAAGACCTTTACCTCTCTGATCCCTTTCGTAGGCTCTAACTATATCGGGAGTTGTCTCTAGAAGTTCTGCTCTAGTGAACCAGCGGTCGTCCTCCGGTTCCTGGTAAGCAAACCGGACCTTATATTGCTTACGGGGACGACCTCTACCTCCTGTTCTGAAGACATCTTCACCTACTATGCCGTCAATGTCATAACTTCCGTCCATGTCTAGGGGGGATCATGGACCGCCTAGATGGAAATTGTTGACTTGTGACACACGACAGCAACTTCGATGCGTGAAACATAGGGTAGGTGTGGAGGTGTGTTGGGATCTCTATGGTGTAGGACGACCCATCCTCTCCGCCCTTAACTTCTAGAACTGGCCACGGTCCTCTATACGCGGGCAGTAACTTTTGCAAGATGTTTTCCTCAAGAGCAAACTCTTTGGACTTGACCCAGACCAAGTCGCCTACTGGGAACTGTGACGGGCGATGGTGCTTATTAGCCTGTTCTATGATCCGGTGCAAGGCCTTCCTGAGGTTCTCAACAATAGTGGCTATCTCTCTCTCATGTTGTATCGCAAACTCCCTGGTACTAGGCGGTAGCCTGTGAATCTGATCCCGGTTCAGTCCCTCAAACGGTCAGGACTGTATGTATTGACCCTGGATAATCTCTCTTAGCCCTGTGTTGTATGGTAATCTGAGAGCAGACAATCCTTTGTTCCCTCGTATGTCCCTCGAGCCCGTTCTAGCCCTGCGGTAAAGTGCACTATCTCCTGACACTCCCGACATCCCATACTACGGAACTGCTATGCCAGCCTCAATCTTTTGACCACGTACTAAGAGGATGACCAGCCCTAAGTTACAGTCTGGTATCGAACACAGGACATTATGTGAATCGTGTTGTATTTTTTAATTACGATTAGAACTGTAGTGTGGGTTTGAAGTGTCGCACTACAGTTTCGAGTGTAGTGTAATAATGTGGAATGAGGCCCATAACCTCGGGACAGGCTAGGTATGGCGGCCATAGCCTTCGCACGGAGCCCTTGCCCTGGCGCCAGTACCAGCTCCGGCAGCTTGGGGCGTTCTGTTAGCGCTAGGCCGCTTGGCCGAGCGCCGCCTCACGTCCACCACACCTCGAGCCAGCAAAAGACCCGTTATGCATTGGCCTCTTGCCCCGTGCGAGCCACCAAAGTATATGGGGGATACAGGGCGAAAAACAGAGACTGGAAAAAGGTGGGGTACGCGTACTTCTCTCTCTCTCTCTCTCTCTCTCTCTCTCTCTCTCTCTCTCTCTCTCTCTCTCTCT